GCAGAGAAACCGTGCATTTCAGAATTGGGCTATTCCAGTCTTCACGGAACTCATCTGTGACTTATCAACAGATAAGAAAGTCACTTAGCACTTGGGAACTTTCTTTCCTTTGCCTGCAATTAATGGTTTGTTCAGGAGTCAGGCTGAAGCGACAGAGCAAGTCCTAAGTTGTGTTGTTAGGTCAGGCTTTGAGAGTCTCTGTCACCAAGGTGAGATGGCAGACAGGCATACTTTGTGTCGTTAAACTGACATCTGCTGACCCAGACTTGGAGTTTGTTGGCTGAAGGGTCATTGGAATAGAGAATCATCTGAGCTGTATTCAAATTTATAGCCTAGAGATATTACTAGCTTGCCCTGATATTTGCTCAATTTCCTTCTCCTGTTTCCCTTCATTGTATCTAACTATGATATAATTATCACCATCATCAGGAAATTATCATTGGGAAAAATACCATTAGCTAATTATATACTTTATTTGAATTGCATTATTTTCCCAATATTTTATTGGTCTAAGATCCATTATATTTAAATGTCATATCATATTGTCTCTTATAGTTTATGACCATGACATTTGTAACTGGTCAGTTATTTTGTGTAATGAATTCTATTTGGGTTTGTTTGATATTTTCTCATATTTAGATTGAGTTTATGTATCTTTGGTAGGAATACCACAGAGTAATGTAGTACCCCATTGAGCATAGCATACAGAAGTACATGTTGCCGCTATGGCTTGTCACTAGTATGTAACTAGGAACAATGGTTCAGGTGGTGTCTGCCAGCTTTCCTGACTGGGAAATTATCATTTTTGTCTTTGGATTTAACATCTGATTGGGAGATACTTTGAAAGGACAAATACCTTGTTTCTTATGTTTTCATCTCTTGAGCCTTTATTGATTGGTCTTACGTGGTATCATTATTGCTTTGCTATTTGCATCATGGTGGTTTTTTAATTACTGTCAACATTTCTCCATATAAATTGTAATTTTATTTAAGGAAAAACTGATCTTTCCCCCTCCATTTATTTATTGAATCATTCCTTTATAGTGGTACGGGGTTTTGATTTATTTGGGTTATAATCCATTATCAAAATTTCCCTTCATTGTCCATATTTGGCCCCTGAAGACTCCCATAAGTTAGAAACATGGACTCTCTACTGCACCCTGCTTCCTTCATGAGCAATCCCTTACATTTCCTTGTCTTCTGGGATCACAGATCTTCTAGGCTTAGCTTACTGATTTTACCCCAGTCTATGAAGCAAATATTTTTCTAGAGAATCCTGCCTTTTTTTGCTGGATAATCATAGTTAGGAACCAAGGCCCTTGTGCTATTGTTACTGGGTTATCTTTACCTTTAAGTTTTCTTAGTAGACAGAGTGAGGTGGTACCGTTGTGTATACTTGTACATCATATACACATTTATTTCTGTCTCCATCTGTATGGGTATGTAGAATTGATATATATTAAAATCCATGAGCACATAGTGGTGCCTGATTTTCTCATTAAACATTGAAGGCTTTGGTTAAGGCAGTCTTACAGATCTTTACAAATGACATTGCAAATGGACTTACTGTCTTCGATGTGATCTTGTCATAGTGTTCCGTTAACTCATAGCATTTTAGTTTCTGTACTCTTGACAGTAAATTCTTTAAACTCCTCATCCTAGGCTCCAGCTGAAAATGTGCCTTTTATCCAAGCTTTATTTTTAACAGAAATTACAGGGAGTAGATTTCTTAAGACAGAAATCCCTCCATAGTGACTTGATAGGTTTTTCTGCACCTTCCAATTGACACTCATGGAAGATACCCTACAAATTACAGTGTTTTTGAAGTAGCTCAGATTTTAGAGACATTGATATATATTTCCATGTTTCCAGTGTAAGGACTCCTGGGAGGCAAATCCTGACGTACTGGGAAGGCTATTTTTTAAAATCCTTTTATAATAGTATCTAAATGTGTTTAAAATATTCCAGCTTCTCAGAACTTACAGTATGAAGAGATCTGAGCCTCATATCAATCCATTTATTTCCTGTCTTTGGATTGCAAACTATATAAATAGACAGGGTGTAGTAAAGCTCCATCCATAGACACAGCAACTAGGTGTGTGACATTAATCCTTGCACAGGAGACAGAGAACTACCCGCAGGACATCCAATAACCCATGACTCAGCTGATTTTTACTTGGATCATGTCCACATCTCAAAGCCCTGGTTCTACTCTTTGGGCAAATGAGCATGGAGCATTCTGATTGTGTACCCAAAGCCATGTTTTAGTGGTCATTTCTAAAACTGCCTACCTCAGCAAGCTGAGCCATACTTTGAACTGACTGTAATGTAAACCTCAGTAAATTTAAAAGGCTTGAGATCTATCAAGTCTGTTATTTGATCACAAAGAAATAAACCCAGGAAACAATGATACCTAGAAAAATCTCCAAATATCTGGACATTAACATATGTTTACTTGCTCCCAGTAATGGTGGATTCCTCTACTGAATCAACTATATAATAATGAGCATAATAGAAAAACATCTACACGAAGGTGCTGGAGAGATAAGAGATGCGGATGGATTTTGATGACAAATACTTGAGAGTAGGGGACGAGACAATTATGTTCCAGTTTTTTTGGTGTTTGCTTTGGTTTTCAATCATCACTAGGTGTCAGGGGTGGTGGAGTCGCTGGGGTGACCGACTTTTGAAAAGTGGAGGAGAGAGAGCAACCATGGCAATGGTAGTTGCGTCTTTGATAAACGTTGTGTACTTGTTGGGTGCCGGGCACTGTATTTGGCGGGAAACGGTTTAGAAGGAGAAAGAGGAGCGTAACAGTTTAAAATTAAGATTTTAGAACACAGACCCGAATCCACAGAGTGATGATGGAGGGCTTGGACAGGGACAAGAAGGTGATCATCTACAGCGGTTAGGTGGAGAAAGAAAGGGGAAATGTTCAGGCAGAGAATTCAGAAAAGGGTCCAGCAAGGTAATGCAAATTCTAGACCTGAGAAGGTGGCAGGATTGGGCTATTTGTTTTTTTTTTTGTTTTTTTTGTTTTTTTTTTTGTTTTTTTTTTTTGTTTGTTTGTTTTTGGTTTTTGGTTTTTGGAGACAGGGTTTCTTTGTGTAGCTTTGCGCCTTTCCTGGAACT